TTGATAACATCGGCCTTGGATATTTTTCTGGTATAATGTGCCACTCTTTCATTTCTCATTTTTAGAACGCTATTTAAAGTTGCGAGACCGGACATACAAAATTATGCGACATTTTATCATTTCTCTAAGTAAATATACTAGATTGCTAATTATTAATTGTTCCATTTCTATTGTTACTGAAACTTTCATGGAAAATAATTTGCTTCGCTGTTATGATATCTCCAGGCATATTTCCAGATTTGTGATCCTTGGCACTTTGATATTACTCGCTCTACTCTCACTAAGAAAAAAATTGACCATGAAGGAATATATCATTGGATCAGAATCAGTTAATGTTTCCATCTCTGTCAGTCCGCTATCGGCTTCTCCGAAGATAATGTGACTCGCGTTCTTAATAATCATAGGTGCTTTATACGTTGCATTCATAATGAGCTACAACAATAGTTACGTTTATTAGAAATGCGATAAAATGGAAACGAGTTTATGAAGCATTATTAAAAATTTAATAATATAAATTGAATGATAATAAATGAATAAAATTAAAATAATAATTAGATAGCGATAAATTATTAGTAGAATGCGCAATTTATTGCACAGTTTATATTATTTTGCACTGCTTTATTCGTTATGTACAGGGTGAGTCAAAGAAACGAGACGTTTTTTGCATTATTAACGACTTTTGGACAATGTCGATACGACTAGATACATTGTGCCCTATATTTTGATGTAATTAAAATTAATCACATAAAGTTTCTAAACTTTTATTTTTCTTTTTTAAACTTTCCTATTTTTTTGTCTCCCTTGTATTAGTATTGTAATAGTATTATCGTTCTCTTGCGCATGAAAATATGAAAATATCAATGTAATATACATGTCCATTATAAGGCATATGTGGCTTCGCAGTGTAACGAGTTGCGATGATGAAGGAATCGTAACAAGTTGCTGATAATATTTCTTTAAAATTCCATCGAATCAAGCTCCGGTTTGTGTCTTAAAAACGTGCATCCATCGCTTTGTATTGCTGCATAATTCTGTAGATTTTTAAAATTCATTTTTAATGAAAAATCAAACGCTCTGTTTCAATTACTTATCTACAATACTTCAGCAAGACTAAATGGTGCTGTAGTTAGATAAGGGCAGCTGGTTACATTGACGTCGCGGAAGAAGGTTTGCATTCCATTGTGCAGAACTACTAAGGATCAACAACGTAATCTAACGTTGTATTAGAATAAACTTATAAAATTTAAGATGTTTTATTATCAGTCTGTGATTTCATTGTTTATTGTATTTGTTTGCCGTATTTATAAAATATATAGATCTCTTCACGTAATATAAAATTTACATAATATAAAAATCTTTAACAAATCATATTATTACAGAAACTGAATTAGCTAATACGAAGAGAATAATAAATGGTTCTTTTAAATAAATATTGTTTTACTGTATTGCAATGTTGTAAATAATTAAGAATACAGATTTTATAAATTAATAATTAGATAGTAACAACACAATTAATAAAATAAAGATAGTTACGTACATATATAATGTAAAAAAAATATGATATGTACATATTTTTTGTTTAATAAAAAGAAACAAGTTTTCATTGAAGTAAAAAAGATTGTCAAAATTATAATGTAAATATTTTAATTAAATATGGCAGTTTTCATGTTAGGATTTAACATTGATTTAATTATTTTCTCAAAAGCAGTTTTTCAATGACAAACAAGCTTCAAGAGTTATCAAAATTTTATCATATTGATATTAAATTGAATATATGGTTATTGGTTATCTTTTATGCATAATATATTCTAGTAATATATATCAAAAAGTTCCGAGCATTTAATTAACGTATGGTTCATGTTTACTTTTTCTCGAAAGATCGTTACAAAATTATAGTACCGTAAAACAAGTTCATTTTACATATGATAACGTTGACTCTTTGAGGGAGTGTCACTATGATATTAAATCGAAAAAGCTAAGATAAAATTTAGTATTTGGTTGATAGAGCTATGTGCTAATAAAATTTGTATCCTATCTTTTTATTATTATGAAAATGTATGCCTAAATAATTATTTGATCGAGTAGACGTCTTTGCGCGTGAACGACGCTAGAATT